AAATTTTGATAAAAAGCTAAATTCTACTCTCAATTTCTCGGAGCCAAAACACGTATTTTCTATATGCGTTGTGAAATTATCATTTACCCAATAATGAAAAAAATGTGGTTGGGAAGAGTTGCCAACAATGTATATTGACTCATGAGCATTTGGGAACAATGGATAAAGAACTATGAAGCGACACAAAAGTTTTCAACGGGCGAAAATAGAGGTTTAAAGAGAGGAAAAGACGACGTAAAAGTAACTAAGCCATATTTTATATTGGGGCATTCCCCGGTGATTTGAAAAATGGTGCAAAATATGTCGACTTTGGGGCCTTATCTGGAGATGAGCACACATGTATTGAAAACATTGAATGTAGATCCAAGAAGGAGGGTAGATCATAAAAGAAATGTGGGTGCCAAGAGCTACCAACAATGCATATTGACTCATGAGCGGTTGGGAACAATGGATAAAGAACTACGAAGTGGCCACAAAAGTTTTCAACAAGCGAAGAAAGAGGTTTAAAGAGGGGAAAAGCGACATAAAAGTAACCAAGTCATGTTTGTTATTGGGGAATTCCGTAATGATTTGAAAAATATCACAAGATACTTCGACCATGTGGCCTTATCTAGTGATATTGAGCACACGTGTATTAGAAAAATTAGATGTAGCTCCAAGAAGGAGAATAAACCATAAAAGGATGTAACGTTAGACTCAACAATAATTGACGCTCTAAAGGGGTAAAGAACAAACAAAAGCCATAATCATTGAAAGTTATGTTTTACTTAGGAAACCAACATAGAGGAAACTTTCCACAAATTTGATCATATGGATTGGGAAGCACCAGGCCCATTACTTGGGTTTATCGAATGAGGTCCGGGATTCAAAATTCCGTAATCCGTTAGGACCCGAATAAATTGGTCGAAAATTTATATACATTTTTTATACTAACTCACAAATGACCCATTTCTTGGGAATTTCTTAACACACTCTATATAGGTGAAAAGAATCCTATGAAAATTAAAAAATTCCCCTTTATTTCTGAAAGTATACTTTTAGATGCACCCTACACTCCACACAAATGTGACCAAATGTGGTGTCACCCCATAGTGAAATTAAGAAAAGTTATGGAGATATATCTCTAAAAAAATATGTGATTTAGTACATCTCTGGTGTGTCCCGGAGATGTATCTCGGAAATCTGGAGGCATTTAAGTATTTTGTGTGTTGCGCTAGAAAGACATAAGGTGTGTTAAGAAATCCCCTTTTTTGGGACGATGAAACCGTCAGAAGAAAACTACAGAAAATCACCCATGAGTACATGTCTAAGAAAAAACATGTCAATCTAGATCTCCACAAAATAACCCTATGTTGGAAGCTTCTTATATCACCTCTAACACATGATACATAAGGATTTCTTAACACACCCAATACTTTTCTAGTGCACCATGCAAATTTCCTTAAATGCCCTTAGATTTCGGAGATACATCTTCGGGACGCATCCAGGATGTGATAAAACACAAAATTTTCCGGAGACACATTTACGGTATCAAATCGGTATTATATTTTCGAAAAAATTCATTACAGAATGCAGCAAAAATAGAAATGAAATACACCAACTTCATAAAATTCCAACACCATTGATATAGTAAAATAAGCAATACATAAGAGATTTTAATATAGATCAAATAATACACTTCAACATTCAGGTGAACGTTGCAACATCTTGATAATATCATCGACCAATCTCGAAATAGTCGCATCCAGCTCGATTGAAACTTTTGATTCTAAACGAAAAAAGGTTATCCACATAGCCCGTAAATCAGTGTTCGTCTTTACCTCATGGTTTGTAAACTCAAGCTTCCATTCTTCGTCAACTGATGGCGAACAGTACTCGATCTTCATGATTTTCCGATTATCACCATATGGTAGGAGCTCCTGCAGTATGTATTGCATATCTTCAAGAGGGGTGTAATCGTTGACCTTAAATTCTTGAGATGGTGTATTGTCGGTAAAGTGGACACTTCCAACATGAAATTTTATGTCCATGTTGATTTTTTATATTTTGGTATGAAACAAAACCACAAATGAACTTATTTATAGTAATGTGATGATATTATTGACCACACAAATCCTATCTGCTGACAGAGAATTATCAGAGATGCAACTTCGGTAACACCCTAAATTTTGTATCAGAGATGTATCTCTGGAAACTTCCTTGCTATTAAAAACCAAAAAACAGAACATAAACAAAAACACATAATTGTCTAGAATGTTGATATTTTTGGACAAATTACAAAATGCTTATATTCCACAGCATAATCATTAACTAAACGTCATATACAATAAAATGATAAATAACTACTTAAATTATCCAAAATAATTGTCGCCTGCCAAATCTATAGGTGGTACCCCCCTTTGACTTTTCCTTATTTTTTTCTTCTATTTCAATGTTGTTCAATTTGGTGTACTCTTGCATCTTTTTAATAAATTGGTCCGACCAAGTCTCAGATTGAATTGTATAATGATTCATCCACTCAAGTGATGTAAGTTGTATATGGAATCTCTATTTTAAATACACTTGAAGAAATTTATGTGAATTTGAAACTCACCCAACATAGATAATACGATCATTGGGATTTGGTGGTGGAGTAGTGCGTAGTGGAAAAAAGTTTCTGATAAAGTTTATGTGTTCCAACATTGTGATACTACAACCAAATTATGTTTGTATCTCATTATGCTCGTTTAGTATCATTTGATTCACAGATTCCCAATCCGCACACAAATCACCCTTGTTATTTCTCAACCAATTCTTCAGACAATCATGAGGAGACTCAACTTTGTTTGTTGTTGTATTTCCAATGTGCATAACTTGGTCGGTCAAAGCACAAACAATCTTCTCCATTACCTGGTCTAAAATTGTGCTTTCAACATATTTCAGTAAATCGAGATATTTCATACACACCTTCCTGAAATGTATTACAACATCAACATATAGCTCTTTTGTAGATACATTTATTATAACATTCCATGCATCCATAATTTTCTCCACAATAACGCCGCCTTGACCAGTTTTCCATCTTTACCTGATATTTGTTTTGTCCGTATCACAGGCTTAACACGACTTCTCACATTCTTAGTAATGTGATACCTACAAAGTAATGCATAAGAAATGGGAAATATCGTTGCAACTAAATTCATTAATACGGTATCTCGGCCGGTAACAATGACTTTTAACATATCTTCTTGGTCCTTCAACATTGACCGACAGACTTTTAAAGCCCATGCAAAATTATCCTCTTTTTCGCACTCTAGAAATGCAAAACCAATAGAATACGTCTTCTCAGTCGATGTAACACCAATAATTTCTAACAATTGAAGCTCGTATTTGTTGGTGTTACACTTGAATCAATTATAAACACGGTGGAAAATGTATTGAACAATTTAATGGAATCCCCAAAAATAGAATCTTATCCCCAAAAATCATCAACCTTAGCTTTGTATTTAGAGAACTTCGGAAATCCAATCCTCTAGAAAAGAAAAGAGAAAAAGAAACACAACAAATAAATAAATCAAGTTCATAATCAAAGAATACAGGAAACAAACTCACCGGAAAGAAGGAATCACCACAAATAATGAAGAGTTTGAGATGATACGACTAGAAAAAACCTCAATTGTCAAGAAAGGTAAGAAGAAAAAAACATAAAATCTACAAATGTGGCGATAAAATCTACAAGAGTATTGAAAACATGGTATCCGACACTTGCTCATAAAAAACTCATGTTGTCTAACAAAGGTGAATACCTCAGCAGCACCAAGCAAAATATAGAGGTATCCGCCATAAGATACTAATTGGTACAGAGACATTTTTGTCAACCTGTAGCGGTAGAAATGTTTAAGACTAAGCCATTGGATTGACTTGACTTATACAGACCAAAAATAAAAATTGCCACCGCGCTTTATTGTTTCCAAAGGAATGGGAAAAAAACGAATAACCCAAAAGAAGGGGAAAGATTCAAGGTAAGAGGGTTGGTTATACAAAGGAAAGGTATTAGCACCCTAAACATCTACGGTACTCCGTAGGAACCTCTTTGTAAAATCTGTATATTTTGGCTATAAAATGTTATATATAAAAATAGATGGTGGAGGTGAGAAAAGAAATATTTTTTATTATTTTTTCACTCGCCGCGGTTGCGAACCTTTAGTGTCTACGTACCACCTTCTATGCAATAGGGGATCAAAGTACACGTAGTTCCTCTTTAAAAAAATTTAAAACACAAGTGTGTTGGTTAATTTTATGAGATAAGACATCATCATCATTGTCCGTGTGGAAAACATACTTACTACCCACAATCATGAGAAAGGAGAATTTGCATCATCTCAAAGTGGAGGATATGGCTTGACTTTTAAAATCAACAAAACCTCACTCAACACCCAAGTAGAAAATATCTCTCTTAACTACATATTATAGAGGTATAGTTGTTTGCATCACTACAAGGATTCACAAGAGTCTAATCTTTTGAGAAAAGTTTTAAAGATAAGAGCCAAAATGGCAAAATGGCTTGAATGAGATTGATTGACTTTTAGTCTTCTCACAAAAATGTCAAGGTATGATTAAGTTGCTTGAAAATATTTTGAAAATGTGTGGACCTAAGTACAAGTTTATTATGAAAGTGATTCAAGTTTAGAAACAAGAAAAGTTTTCAAAAGGAGAGAGAAGATTTTTGAAATTAAAGAAGATGAGAAGAGATGAAGGGACTATCCTAAAGCATAAGGTAAAAGCTAGGGAGAAGAATCATCTAACCAGCAAGAAGCCAACACTTGACATTATGAGTCGAGATAGACTTCCTATTCTTTGAATTGAAACCAAGCAAGGATACTAAACCTTTTGAGAAGACCAAACTTCAAGTGTATTAAGTCTTCACAAAAATTAGGCAGAGTAACGGCTGTATACAAATGAATTCCCGATTACAGACAAAGTGTGTAATCACAATAACCTGCACACAAAATAAACAAACAACCCAATATCTTGAGGTAAACCTCAAGAGCTCCAGAAAAAATATCAGTTAAGGTCACAAGGTCTCCAACATAGGTCAGGGTCTCTAATCATAAGTTCAAGAAGTCAAATACTCCATAATGCCAAAGATAATAACCAAGTAGTTCAAGTATCATTAATATTTTTTATGGTTCATGTTGATTATTAAGTATCTTCAAAAGGAAAAGAAAAACTCAAGTGAGCAAAATAAAAATGACATAAAAGTAAATGCTCAAGTGAGCAAAGATGAAAATAGCATGAAATGTAAATGCTAAAGTAAATGGTACATAAAGTAAAAGTATAAAATAAAAGTATAAAATAAAGTCAATTGTTAGAAATTAATGGTTAGTTGGATGACCAACTTGAAACTTGCATTTGGAACTCATTAGAGGATTGGTAGAACCAAAGCCTCTCAACAACAAGTTACATTTGCTTTTTGTCAAGTATATCATCCATTTTAGAATCCTCAAAGCAACATTTAATGATCAATGATGTTTAAGTGATCTGCGTTGACCAAATTTGATGAAGATCCACTGGAGGATTGGTAGAACCAAAGCCTCCTAACAGTGAATCTCAAGGTTATTGGATTAAAGGGTTCAAATTAACATACTTGGACTTGCAAACATAGGTTTAGGCCACGAATGATCATTTTCTCAAATCGGGACAAAATTTAGCGCTATGTTAAGCAATCGTAAGTGAACTTATGTAGAAATCGCACCTATTTTGAGGCCGGTCAATAGCAATCTATGTACTTCATGTTTGGATAAATGATATAGAGATCATCATCCTATAACATGTAGCACAAATAACAAAGAAAGGGATAAGATGAAGAGGGAGGGGAATGATAAGCTAATTTGAATCATTACCTCAAATTTCTTTCATCTTTAAATCCAATCACTCATCTATATGGATTAAAGTACTAAACATATCATTAATCCAAAGCACCAAAAATGAATTGAATAATTCACTCTTTGGTAGATTTGAATTAATGAACATTTATCCAACTTCATCTACACCCAAAGTCCATTGAATTTAAAGAGAAATTGGAAATTTAAAATTGCAATCCAAATCAACAATCAAAAGGAGTGAGTAGAAAAAGAGAGATGGATCAAAACAGCCCTAAAACAAGGCAGAAAACACATTTTGGCTCTGTTGCAATCGATTGCACTCTGACAACAATCGATTGCATCAGTGTTTTTAAAAAAAAAGTGAATTCGTTCTGTGACAATCGATTGTGCTCTGGCAGCAATCGATTGCACCTCCTGTGAAAAACAGAAAATCAGCATTTCAAAAGGCCAAATTCTTGTTCAAACTTTCCATCAAACACTTTATGATCATGGATTCAATTGAACACGAAAATTCCATTAAATTATGAGAAAATAGCACTAATGGAATTAGAAAACAATGCTCTATGAATTAAACCCAAAGATCAACAAGAGATCACATTGTGAAAGATGAAAGATCCAACTTACCAAAGGTAGATTTAGAGAATTATCAAAACAACTTCAAGAATTTGCTTCAATTCAACCCCAAGAATCAATTGCCCAAGCTTGGATGTAGAGAATTGATAAAGAAAAAGTGTTTTGATGAATGTTTAGCTCAAAGATTAGTAAGCTTCAATGCAAAGCTTACTATTTTTTTTTTTGAAAATTGAGCTTTGAGTGAATTTGGTAGATGGAGAGAATTGAGAGATTTTTTAGCAAAGTGAGCTTGGCTATCAAAAGCTTGAGATTTGAATGAAATGAAAGCTCTATTTATAGAGTTTAGGCTTGGGATTAGTGGTGGTTTGGAGTTTGGTTTGGGAAATGAAATTAGGCTTGGTAATTAATTCTTGAAGCCAAAATTTGAATTAATGATATATCTTTCAAAAAATGAAAAAATTGGAGTCAAAATTTGAACTAATGATATATCTTTCAAAAAATGAAGAAAAATTGGAGCCAAAAGAATTACAAGCATGAAATTGCTGATTTTTTTTCAAAATTTCACTTTGTGCAATCGATTGTACTCTGGGAGCAATCGATTGAATCAGTGTTCTTTTCTTTCAAATATTGCACAAAATGCACTCTAAGAGCAATCGATTGTACAGTGGAAAAAAATGAAATTTTTTTAATTATTTTTCTTTGCAAATAGAGATTTTAAGGAAATAATACCGGAAAACTTTATTTGTCGGATGTTTTGACTTGGTACCTACAAAACACAAATATTCAGAGACCAATATTTTTTTTATTTTGATTAAAAGTTAGTCAACAACACATATACAAAATACACAACTAAAGTGCTTGGAGATTCCTCAAGAGCAAACTTAAAGATAGGAGATAGAAAAAGAGGAAGAACCAACCCTAATGTGATCTTGTTATGATCGAGTTGATATGATATGATAAGGAAATGTTAGGGACAAAAATTGAGGTACAACACAACCAATCCAAATTCTTTTGCAATTTGCAACCTCTTGCTCTCTACTAATGCAGAAAAAGACTAATTTCCATCCTTTGCAATTCTGTGAAGCCTCTTACCTTGCTATTGGAACAATGCCTCTATCACAAATTGGAACCCAGATAATGACAGCGACGATGTCAAAAGTTGAAAGAGAGGCTGCAAGGAGTTTTCAAAGAAGCAATAGTTGTGTCCATCACTTTCGATTGTTCAACAAACAGCGATGACATTTGTGCATAAACAGCAGAGAAGATTATTCCTGATGCCCATATTGGAAACATGCGGATCAATATCTTTAACTCTTCCACTTGTGTAACTGTACAAAGCCTCCATGGACTAGTCACTTCAGCTCTCTCTTTTTCTGCATCTGATATCACTGCTGCTTTATCCAGGAACCTGCACAAAGTAGAGTAATAAGTCATTTTGGTCCATAAATGTGTGAAGCAGCGTCACTATAGTCTTTGAGAAGATGTTTGAAGCTATGAGACAACCTCAATCCATCACTATGCTCTAGTCTAGAACTTCCTTCAATGGAGGAATTCTTAACTGCTAATTCAAAGATGAGACAGTTGTCTTGGGGAACCTCCAATTTCCACTCGAACAAAGCAGAAGAAGTTACCTGGAAAATTCTTGTAAGAGGACTTCCCACTGCCGTTTGAAATCTATACATTGGTGTACCTAGAAAGAAAATTACGATCGCAATACCAATAAACAGTGCAGAAATTCCATACCATCCAAGTCCCCACCCAATATTTTCTTCAGTCCATACCAATACAGTGACTGATAAAAGTGCACCAATTTTACTAGTGAAATAATTCCAATTGAAGAATGATCCTTTACTTGCTCTTTCCCTATGATCTGTATCATCAAACTGATCTGCCCCAAAAGGCCAAATACATGGCTTTATTCCACCAGTTCCCAGTGCAATAAAAAAAAGTCCAAAGAAAAATACAACACTTTGAACTATGGTGAAAACAATACAGTAAAGACAAAAAACAATGAGTCATACACAACTAGCTATATTGTATAAATTAGAATCAATAAATACAAATATTCACTATTACCTTAATCGTTTACATTTTTTTTCTTCTTATTTTAATTATTTGTTACAATACTTAATTAGGACTAACTGACATGCAGTTGAATAACTTCCTGTGTGCTTGATCATCATGTCTTTGAATGAACTTATAAGTTGAATTTATTCGAAAGAGCCTTTCAATGCCAGCGGTTCGGTTGATCTTCAACTATCGTTATGTACAACATGGTAAGATCCAAAAACCCGTACTATTCATTTTCCCAAACTCCATTCCCAATTAGTATATACATATTTATCATACAGAACAATATCCACAATGAATGACGGAAATATCAGATCATGCTTCCACTCCTATGAGCAACAAGTGCTTGAAAATTTTTCAGACATCTTCTTCTGCTTGTACATTTTGGCAGCAATTATGTACGCCAACATATTTAATAAGCTAAGTCCAGATAAAAGCAGAAAAAAGTAATCAAGATGTCCCTTGTTCAGGTTATCAGGAATCCATCCAAGCTTTCCACCTCGTGTAGTGAAATAAGTTACTATGGTAAGCATGAAAGAGCTCAAGTAATTCCCAAATGAAAAACTCAGGAGTGGCAGTGCGCTACATAAACTCCGCATAGCATCTGGTGATTCGTCATAGAAGAACTCAACCTGCCCAATGAATGTGAATACCTCTGATGCGCCTAATAAGAAATATTGAGGTATTTGCCATAATACACTAAGGGGTATGGCAACAGGTTTATCAACAAGGTCAAGCTTTCTTGCAAGCTGGAGGCGCTTAATCTCCACAATTGCAGCTGACAACATACACAGCCCAGAAATAAAGAGGCCAATTCCCATTCTTTGAAACACGGAAATGCCCCTTTTCTTGCCTGTAATTTTCCTTGCAATAGGAACAAGTATCCTGTCATAGACAGGGACCCAAAAAATAACACTTGCCACATCGAAGGTTGAGAGGGAAGCTGGGGATAATTTGAAAGAACTAACATTTGTATCCATCATAGTTCCTTGCTCCACAAACAATGTTGACATCTGGGTGTAGACAGCAGAAAAAATTATTCCAGTAGCCCAAATTGGAATCATACGAATCAATATTTTCAATTCTTCCACCTGTGAAACAGTGCAAAGCCTCCATGGATTAGAGTAGTCCCCACTTCTGTTCTCTGAATCAGACACTACAGCTGCTCTATCAAAATACCTTTATTTAAACACAAAAAAAAAGAGTTTTATAAGGTATATCCTTCAGTCATTATTAACAAAATATTATTAGCAAATATGAGTCATGCATATATTAGGGTTCAAATATAATGAATAATTGTTTGTGGTATACTGAATCATTTCTCCTCCCATCTCTTTCAAGGCCGCATTTGTGCCCTGTGTCTAATAATAATGTAGTTTGTCTTATTTTAAAATTATACAAATAATAGCTACAAAGCAATATCAGCAGCGTAGCTGCACAAATTAAACCTAAACAACTCCTATAACATTTAGCATCAGACAAAAATGCACATAAACAAGAATATTATATAGAAATTCAACCTATACAAGATACTCCTTTGCCTATATCAGAACAATGAATAAAGCCAATAACACTAGGGCAGAAAACAATGCTCAAAGTAAAAACATTACCTCAGATCATCACGATGCAACAGTTTGCGGCTTCCTTCAACTCCTGATTTCTTGTCAGGCATCTCATATAGAAGACTACTATCCTCCGGCACAACCAACTTCCGCTTTCGGACAGATGCTAACACAACCTGGCACATTCTTGTAACAGGACTACCCCTTGGTTTTTGAAACCTGTATAGAGAAGTACCTAAAAAGAAACTTCCAACGGATAACCCCATGAATAAAGCAGGAATGGCAAATCCAAGACCCCATCCTGCATTATCTTGAACCCACACAATGAAGGAACATGACACAGTGGCACCTAGCATGATAGAAAAGTAATACCAGTTGAAAAAGGAAGCCTTCCTGGCCCTTTCTTTGGAATCAGTGTCATCAAACTGATCTGCCCCAAAAGATGACACACATGCTTTTACACCACCAGTCCCAAGTGCAATTACATAGAGACCAAAATAGAGCAGATAATATTGCAGAGGACTAGCCGGAGGACATACCGAACCCAAACACTCAGCTGGCTTCAATGATGGAAGAGATGCAGAAATAGTCAAGATAGACATCCCCTGCAAGATACAGCCATATCAATATCACATAATAAAATGCCTACAAGGATAAGAAATGTATGTTAAGTGTATTACAAGGAAATAAATCATAGAGAAAATAGCAATTGTCCAGTATCGTCCCCAGTAACCATCTGCGAGAACAGCTCCAACGAGAGGTGTAAGATAACAAGTTCCTTGCCAGAACCCGACATTTCTCGCGGCAGAGACGTTTCCTTCATGTAGTTTGGTGGTAAGATAGGTAACAAGGTTTGTTGAAATGCCAAAGAAAGCTAGACGTTCGCAACATTCATTGCCTGTCATTTACATACATGAAAATGGATCATCGAAAACATGAAACCTTAAGGCGATGTAAAAAAAGGCATACCTAGAATAAATGGACAAGCTCTCCAATTGCCAGTGTCATGCTTAATAGCAGGCTTCCCTCTAAAATCAACCGAACCATCTCCTGTGTATTGTTTGTTCCTTTCATCCTTAAGAAACAAAATAAACAATGATACCACATTTTTGGGGACTCAGATTCACTGACATGCAGTTGCTTGCTACAGCCAACAAATCTCGGCCATTGGATGAATTGGCTGAGTCGTATTTGAACTTCACCAAATCGGTTTTACAATAATAATACAACTAAAAATAGCCGATATGAGTGACAGCTTAAGCCTGGAATTGCAACCATAGAGAATCCAAATCCCTTTTTAAGGATTCAGATGGAATAACAGTCAGACTTATTCCTCTCCCTTAATACTGATAAAAAATAGTATATGAGAAAACAGATTGCTGGAAAAATGAGCAAGAGCATTTTTGGATTCACTTGGCAAAAGTGATTATGAAGAGTTAAAATTGATTTTGTTATGTTTCGATGTTGCTAAAATTGATTTGGTTATGTTTCGATGTTGCTAAAATTGATTTTGTCTCTAGAAAATGTATGTAGTTTTGCGTCATTCTACACTCAAATTTATTATTCGACACAGTTTTATTCTAATGAAACCAAAATTAAATAATTTCATGTTAAACTTATCGATAATTATGAGTGAGTGATATAGTTTGTGATTGACATAAAGTAACACAGTTTTAGGCTAAAAGTAAAATATAAAATAACAAAAAAAAAAAGAAAAAGATATTGGGTTCATAAAGTTGAAAACAGAGAGTGAAACTGAAAAAATAGTAGAGTGATTGTTGTTATAAGACTGTTAGGTGGTATGATTAACACGTGGTGGATGAAACGGATTAATCTTTTGTAAACATATAATCAAAAAAAAAAAAAACAACAGCCTCATGAGAAAGAGATGAAATAATTAAACTAAGTAAACAAATTAGTTAGAGACGTTTATCTATTTATGAAGAAAAAAAGTGTGAAATAGGAAGAAGAAGAAGAAGAGAACCTGAAGAAGGCCCTGCTCCAGTTCTGGAACGTCGTCGTCAATAATAGAACCCATGTTGAGAGAGAGATAGAGATAGAGTTTAAGTTTAGGAAGCAATGTGTGGAGAAGAAAGAATATTCACTTTCGAGTATTCTTGTCGTACGTACAAAGGATTATGGACTGCTGACATTAAATATAAAGTCTCCAAAAGTTTTAACATTTTTATCAGAGAAATGGGGACGATGCATGGTAAATATAAAAAAAAAAAATTTATATTGTCAATTAATGATGATTATGAATTCCTTTAAATTAGATTGTAATTTTTAAAATTTTTATATGAAATGATAAATATAAAAAATTTAATTAAACTCTTTTTTAAATTATTTAAAGAATTAGTTAGTTATAAAATTGTAGAAACCAAAATTTGAGGAAGTGGGGGCGTGGGGTTTACCATCTACCCCACCAACTTTGTTTGAAATTTAATGGCAACATTAGTACATTACGTTTTAGTGAAAGTACCACAGGAATTTTTTACCAACATACCCCCCTTTTAACAACTATATCCCAATATACCACACCTTTCAACCATTATTCCCAATATACCATCTTTTAAAAAAAAATAATTTGAAATTAGGAGGCTCCGCCCAATGGATAGGCGGATGGTCTTAAAAATACACAGCTTCCGCCCATTACATTGGCGGAGCTGTGTGATCAACGTTTTTTTTTTAAAAATAATTTTAAAAATAAATTAAAATTGCTGTTAAATAAAAAAATAATATATTTTTATAAAATGAATTTGATATATTCAATTTTAAGTCATTTTAATAAAATTATTAAAATATTAAAATTTTAATATACAAATAAAATTTATTTTAATGTAATTTTAAAAATAAATTAAAATTATTATTAAATAAGAAATCAATATATTTGTATAAAATGAAATTGAAATATTCAAATTTAAGTCATTTTAATGAAATTATTAAAATATTAAAATATTATTATACAAATAAAATTTATTTTAATGTAATTTTAAAAATAAATTAAAATTATTATTAAATAAGAAATCAATATATTTGTATAAAATGAAATTGAAATATTCAAATTTAAGTCATTTTAATGAAATTATTAAAATATTAAAATATTATTATACAAATAAAATTTATTTTAATGTAATTTTAAAAATAAATTAAAATTATTATTAAATAAGAAATCAATGTTAAAATATTAATCATAGAAAGGGTCATGTTATTTTATTATTGCAGTGCGGCTCCGCCCCTGCAATGGACGGAGGGTTTTATTTATTTTATTATTTTATTATTTCAGTACGGTTCCGCCAGTGCGATGGGCGGAAGCTTTCGTAATTTTATTATTTATTTACGGCTCCGCCACGTTAATGGCCGGAGGGTTTTATTAATTTATTAATTTAAAATTTTTGTTGTGACCTATAAATATCGTTGATGTTGAATGATCCAAGCTACACTTAAATTATTTTTCTTTAGTTGTATCTTAAAAATGTCTTCAACATCCGGCGAGTTTTCAATATTTCCATATATGAAAAGAGACGCAGAACTAATTTTTTCTCCAGTAAAGCCTCCGATGAAGATCAAATTGTTGAACACGCAGACATTTGAGCATCTGTATAGGCACTTGGAGGGATGGTTAGGGGAAGAAATTGCCCAAGGTGAAAAGATTCGGAAAATAGAGAGGTTAGTTACGGTGCCTGGTTTAAATGGACCCACTCGTTCTTGGAGACTTATTCACAACGACGCATGTGTTCTTATGATGATGCTTAAACAAAAAGACATTGTGTTGCTGATTGTAATATCCTAGAAATGGTTATGTCCTTGTTTGAACATGTTGATGTTGTTTACGTTTAATGTTGTTGCTAAGTTCTACTATTCGTCTCAGTATTTTAATTTATGTGTTATTTTTTCGAATTGTTATTTATATTAAATGCAGAAGTATTAGTGAAATGAAACATAATAACTCGGTGTCATTATACATACAACTTTGCAGATTGATAACAAAATGAATAACTAATTATTACTAGTTCCTACATTGGGGCATCGCGTTCGGTTGTGACCTGGAAGACGATACAATGTGCATTTTCTCTCCAACTTATCATATGCGTCCATTTCTGTTGTAATACGGGTGCTCACGGGACGACCTTTCTTGTTCCTCCGCATAACTGGATTATGGAAAATTTGATCTCCCTCATAAGTGGGCCAATACTCATCGTATGGTAGAACTGGAAAGCTCGTGCTGTAAACCCCAAATAAGTTCGCAACCTTGTAAACGTCAGACAACAGAAGAAATGCGTCTTGGCGTACCACAAAACATGCAGCGATAACATGTGAACAAGGAACACGGTATGCTTGAAACTTTCCGCAGTCACACCATCCTTCCATTAGGATGGCGTCCGGAGACACACACATTCCATCTTCCTACCGGTGAATCCACAGTCATCCTTGAAGATGTCTACATGTTGATGGGTTTACGTGTAAACGGTTTGACAGTGAATGGGAGAACATTTGACTACTCCATAACTCAAGAACTCTTGGGTGAAGAATTTCCCGAAAGAGCTAGAAAGGGACAATTCGTCAAAATTACTTGGCTCCGGGAAATATATGATGGATTTGAATTGAACCAAGATTCCCCCCTAGAACAAATTCATAAAAAAACTAGAATTTATATTTTATTGTTATTCGCTTGTTTATTATTTCCTGACACAAATGGTAACACAATACATCTAATGTATTTACCATTACTAGCTGACTTTAATAAAATAGGTAGATACAGTTGGGGATCAGCAGTTTTATCGCATCTATACAGAAACCTCTGTAGATGCGCCAAAAAAGATGTTCATAATTTTGCTGGTTGTTCAACACTAATACAAGCTTGGGGCTGGTCCAGGATGCCGAATCTAGCGCCTAGGAATCGCAATCCTTTTCATTTTCCATACGCAACCAAGTAAGTTGTAACTACTCCTTTGTCTTAAACTTATATATTATGTGAACAATATTTAACTATTACATTTTTTTAGATGGTCTGCCTATGGGATGGATTACGAAAAGACTCCTCATCATTGTGCACCTGGCTATCGGACTTTCATCGATCATTTCGAAGAATCTGATGTAATATTCTTAACCATATTTTAAGTATTACATATTTTATATGGTTCGTTAAACTAATAACTGATTTTTTTAACAGTTTACATGGAGGCCCTATCTGGGACTTGATGATACCGATCCGACTGATAGTCACGTGTGGAGTGCAAAAACATTTATCATATGTTTTACTACTGTTGAAATGCACCATTCTGATCGGGTAAAACTTCAATTTGGCATTAAGCAAGGCATACCGGATGCTCCACAGTGCATGGAGGAGTATCACAAAAGTGTGGTGAACGATCAATGGGCATATAGCAATTGGAAAGATTGTTACAAGCAGGAGCGTCGTCAATGGCATAACCGCGAAAATAAAGTCTTACAAGGAGATGTCATGTCAGAAGAATGTAAGCCAAGTAAGGAATACATGGAATGGTATAAGTCTGTTACAAATTTGTATCTGTCACCAAACAATTTCTTGTATGACCCTCGTAATTTCCCAACATCTTCAAACGTCCAACACACCCAACCATCATCAAGCACTTACACCCAACAACCATTCATGAGCAACCAAGAACCTCTCTTCCCAACACAACCATCTTTTACGCAACAACCATTCTTCCCAACACAACCACCATTTACCCCAAGCCAACAATACCATCAACAAAACCCTTCTTCTAACCCCACCCAATGGGGCACCCAACAACAAAACCCTTCATCTAACACCACCCATTGGGGCACCCACCAACAATATCCTTCCTCTAACCCCACCCAATGGGGCACCCAACAACAATATCCTTCCTCTAACCCCACCCAATGGGGCACCCAACAAACCCCACAAAATCCCAACTATCAAACACCCTAACAACAAATGCCTATTCCCCGACCACAACAATTTACCTCCCAAGATTGTTACCAACCCTCAATAAATAGCCCAATGTCTTCTAATCCCATACCAAATTGGAATTGGAAGGGAACCAGATTAAGTTATGGCAGTGCAGCCGAGACAGACTTTACCAATGAGGACATGATTGAGGAATTTTTAATGGGCGGCTGTGACGCGGGACCTTCAACTTCAACTCAACCACAAAATGAAGAAGGAAATCGCAGAATAGGCCAACGTACTAGACGAGCACCTGCTTGTGGAACTCACCAACGATTGACACGACCCGGTCAAAATCGACAGTAGATGTGATGGGGAGATTATATATGTTAAAATGCAAAAAATTAATTTATGTCCTTTAGTTAAATTTTTGTTTATTTATAGTATATTTTGTTTAATTAAAGTGTATTTCATTTAATTTATAATGTATATTATTTAATTATATGAATTTAATTTATGATGTATATTATTTAATTATATGAATTTAATTTATAATGTATATTATTTAATTATATGAATTTAATTTATAATGTATATTATTTAATTATATGAATTTAATTTAAAATGTATATTATTTAATTATATGAATTTAATTTATGATGTATATTATTTAATTATATGAATTTAATTTATAATGTATATTATTTAATTATATGAATTTAATTTATAATGTATATTATTTAATTATATGAATTTAATTTATAATGTATATTATTTAATTATATGAATTTAATTTATAATGTATATTATTTAATTATATGAATTTAATTTATGATGTATATTATTTAATTATATGAATTTAATTTATGATGTATATTATTTAATTATATGAATTTAATTTAGATGTATATTATTTAATTATATGAATTTAATTTATGATGTATATTATTTAATTATATGAATTTAATTTATAATGTATATTATTTAATTATATGAATTTAATTTATAATGTATATTATTTAATTATATGAATTTAATTTATAATGTATATTATTTAATTATATGAATTTAATTTATGATGTATATTATTTAATTATATGAATTTAATTTATGATGTATATTATTTAATTATATGAATTTAATTT